CGGTCCCTACACTGAGAAACACTACACTGGAGACCAGGCGGTGTACTACCACTGAGGTACACTGCCCACCCAAAATTTAGTGTTGTCTCCAATTTCACCAAATTGTGCAAATCTTGGTTGTTAAACATAAAAATGACAAAAGAAAAAAAGCCACCCCGACTTTGTTCCCTCCCTGGCATCCAGCATGCCCACTCCGTTCAGCCCAGACCTCCGTCCGGGCCCCTCTCCCGGGAGGCAGGTGGCTACTCACTGGTGGAAAGGGAGTGGCAGAGGTTCCAGGGCTGACACTGGCACCAGGCCCCGCTGACCCGTCACCAAGGACATGCCTTCCCACTCAGACTCGCTTTCACCTTCAGCTATTTTCACTGAGATTAACTCGTTCTTGCAGAGTGTCAGGCACTCCCCGTCCTTCTCAGCCGGCTGAGCCACAGGGCATGTGGCTCTGCAGAAGAAGTGGCCTGCAGATAATAAGAAAAGCCCTCCCAAGGAGTAGCAGGAAGTGAAGGGGATTATCACAAAATGCAAAGTCTCTCCGCGGCCCAGACACTTTTCTTTCTGCGAGAAAAGTACACAGTTGGTCAAGGTTGGGGGCAGGGAGGTATGACGGGAGGTCTTTGAGACCCTGGAAAACTGGTAGCAGGAAAGAAGCCACTAAGAGGGAATTCACTTAAAATAGACACCAAAAATTCTGAGCAATTTGTGAGTCTTAGGTTTATTTGGGACTTCACCTTGAAAAAGAATGAAACAAAAACTTATGAACATATATCTTAACAGAACTTCAGTTATAATTGTAACTTCATGCTCAATCTTAGGACCAACAAAGAATGAGTTACATTGATTCGAATGAATATAATTTCTCCAAGTAAATTTCATAGTAACATACTATGAAATTCTTTCCTTCTTATATTGTTTGTGCAATACAGGCACAAACTAAATCATTTTGCAGAAGATTGGATGAGAATCTTACTAAGTGTCTATGGCGTCATCATTTGTCACTGGTCAGGCCCTTCCTGGTGAACAGATTTCCTGGGAGTTTCATGTGGTTCTCTAACATCCCTTTCCTCGATCTCATGAAATTTTTTAAGTTTTGCAAGATTTGCAATTTTATTTTATAATCAAATTATATAATATGTTTAGAAAAGTGATTCTCAATCTTGGGTGTATATTGGAATTACCTGAGCAACTTTCAATATACACCAAAGCCTGGTCCCCCACCTCTGGAGAGCTAACCTGCCTGGGTGAGCCCTGGCAAAAGCACCTTCTGAAAAATCCCCAGCTGGTTCAAACCTCAGACAATCAGTGAGACTGGCCAGCAGAGCTGTTCCTGTGATGTCAATGTGAAACTGAGAGAAATATTTGGAGTAATATTATAACAGGTGGGTTCATTTGTGAATATTATCACATTTAAATGATTTTTGCCTCCTTTGTAACCTGATTATTTCAGGGACTCTGATAATAAGTATCCAGATAAGACCTTCATCCCCACCCCTACTCCATGCTCACCTTCCTGTGTCAGGAGCGCCAGGTACATTGTTTCCAGGTGTTTATCATCTACTGACACTTGGATCTCTGTATCCTCCACCAACCTGCAGTTGAGCCAGTACTTGTGGTCAAAGAGAAGATGCTCCAGACAGGCAGACACGTAGCCTGAGAAGTCAAGCCGACAAGGTTCCTGAGCAGCCAGAGCAGGGTGAGCAAGTTCCTGCCTGAAGTCCCCTCCCCAACTTTGATCCCCAATTTGTTCCCATTTAACTGGAATTAGAAGAGCATGAGAGGGGTAGCTTAGAAATTTCTAGAATGAATTGATTTTTGTCGATATCTGTGGGGAAATGCAAGTCATTTTAAATGTTTTTTACCTTGTCTAACATAGTTGTGGGTCTCCATGAGTGCAGAATGAAATAAGCAAACCCCGCTACCTTTTTCAAATATATCCGTGGAGAAATCTCCACAATGACAATGTTGGTTCATTCCTGCTCCCAGTAACATGACAGGAGGCTCAAACTCCTGTACCCAGGTGATGCGGCAGCAGAGGTCGGGGTTCTCCATGGCCCACAAAGGAGCTGGGATCTACTTCTACGTCCCCACTCTGCCCTTCCACCTCACCCACGCCCAGCAAGCTCTCCTTTGTTAAAATCAGACTAGGAACTATACAAATCGTAGAATTCTAACAATTATGGACAGTACTTTAAACATGCCAGTAAATGGAATGTATTTGTATTAAAATTTTGCTCCTTTTGAGACTTTCTCTTTTCAAAAGTGGCGAAGTACGTCTCTTTGCATTCTGACTCTGTGTGGTACTGACTCAGGCCTCATGTATCTCCTTTCATGGTGCTTCGCGTTCTCTAGTGGGCACACAAGTCACCTGGGGGCCTCAGTGAAATACAGGTGCTGGGCAGTAGGTCTGGGGTGGGGCCTGGGAGTCCACCTTTCTAACACTAGCCATGTGATGCTGGTCCACGGAGCACACTCGGAAGACAGAGGGTCTCTAGTGGTCGCAGAAGGACATGTGTGGTGGAGAGAGAAGAAAATCACCGCGACTATAGAGAACACAAGTCCCTGCACAAGGCTGCTTCCTGTGTCAGTCCACACGGAGACCAGCGTCTTCTGGGACATGTACAATGTGTGTCAACTCAAGTGGCCTCCTCTCGCTTTGTCACTTCCCTGTCACGAGTAACCCTCCATGAGGAAGGTAGGGGGACCATCTCCCACCACAGCAGTGCAATGCTGTGCATCCAAATCCTCCTTTACCTTCCAGAAAACCTTGCAACCAAGGCCCCTTTAGCAGATAACTCCTCCATCTCATGCTTTGGCTCTCTCAGGAAAATGGAAATATAGAACTTCACTGTTTTAAGCAGCTACTCTGACCTTGCTCAAGACTGGTTCTTTTTTTTTTTTTTCAAACCATCAAGTTCACATCTATCTTGGTACTTTGAATTTTAGTCTTGACCAATAATAACTCTTTGCCAACTGATTGATTCTCTAATAAAGAAGTCTCTCCCTGAATAAAAAGAAGTGTTGCATGCATCATTTTAAAGTCATAGTTAATATCTGCTTTACATTTCATTTCAGGCATTTTGTAGTTAACTACCCATGTTAGGGCTCTACCTCTTAATTATCTGAGCCAGACCAGTTCCTTAATGTCAAACCCTCCAAATTGGCTGATGTGTCCACCTGCCTGCTCCATGTCGTACCTAAGTTCAGGTAGGTGGAAAACTTCCAGATTTCCTCCATGGTCTTGAAGGTGATGAGGAACTGGGACTTCTGGGACTGGATGCCCACCAGCCTGGCTGAGAGGTCCTGAGCAAAGAGAACAGTGAGTCAGTCTGGCTCAGTGCCTGGTGAACCAGCCCATATCGGTACCAAACCCTCGGTATGAATTTCTTGATTGTGGCACTGAGTTTCATATCAAAGACACACAAAAAGAAAACAACCTAAATGCCCATCATAGGAGACTGGTTAAAATGAATTACGGTTCATCAGACAATGGAATATTATGATATCATGCAGCCATAAAAAAGAATGGAGAAACTCCATTAGCCTCTAAATAAACTCTGCTAAAAGGAACAATGGTAGTAACCAAAAGAAAAAAAAAAACAGGTATAGATGAGCAGTGAATAGTACCTGTTGTGTAAATAAGTTCTGTGGGGGAAAGTGGATGATAAATCATGGAAGGCACTTTGATTGTGAATCTATGTATACTGATTATTTTTATAAAGCTGGCAAACAGAAAAAGCACGCAAAAATAAAATTGATTAACTGAGTCCTTTTTCCTATACATGAGTCTCTATGTAACTATATTAATATAAATAGCATCACATCACTTACATTGTTTTGTGATCTTTTATTGCTAAACAATATTTTGTGAACCATTTTCCACGTCATTGACTAATCCACATTATTTTGAATGGTTACATGTGCCATTGTTGCATTAACATAATTAATTCTTAACATTTCCTTAGGGCTAGACATTTGAGTTGTTTTAATTTTTTTCAACATCCTAAACAGCACTGTGATAAGCGTCCTCCACCCAAACCTTTGTGCACATCCTGGACTGTAATTTTGAGAAGTGGCGTTGGGATGGAAGGATAAACACGCTTCAGTCCTGTGATGCAGGAGCTGCAGTGCCCTCTGAAGATGGTGTCATGTACAAGCTCGCAAGCAGAGCCAGAGGGGGCCTGCGAGCCCCACCCCCTTTTTCAATGCCTGAAAAAACAGACCTGAGTCACTGCCCAAACCTGGTTTTCCCCTAGAATCCTCTCTTGCTTGCCCAAGCCCCTGGAGTTGACTGTCATGAGGGACAATCAGAAAGTCCCTGTCACCCCAGGCCAGGTCCCGCCATCAAAGATCAACTCCTGTGACCCTGATCTGGGAGAAACCTGGGGAAAGAAGAAGACACAAGGGTCCGGACGAGGAGCCAGCCCCCAGTTCAGCAAAGTCAGAGTTCCCTCCAGTGTTCGCCATACCAGGCCCCAGGAGGCCCCAGCTCCTGAAGGATGAAGGTCCCAGTAATCAGGGAAGTCCTTCTAGGCAGAAATTGATTTACAGAGAATTTACTGATTGTCGAGCCCTTCACCAAGAGCTTTATGAGCAACGCCTCATTTAACTCTCACAATCATCCTGTGGAAAGAGCACAATCACAGCACTTCATCCATTCTAAAATGCACTTTCATCATTTTAGCAATTTCTGAAACAAAAAATAAGGAAGCAAGACATCATAGTTGATTGGCAGCATTTATTTTCTTTCTTGGAGGTAAACAAACTAATGGCGTATAATCAAATAGCGTTTCAGAGTTCATAGAAAATGGGATTGTCTCTATCTTACAGTCAAGGAGACCCAAGCAGAGACAGGTTAAACAACCTGCCCAAGGTCACCCAAGAGGACTCGGTGGCACCCTAGCTGGATCCAGCAGACTCCGGGGCTTGGCCCAGCAGACCAGCTCCTCAACTGAACGCAGCAGCCCTTGCCCAGGATAAAAGGGACTCCAATGAAAGACAACCCTGTGCTCTCTTCGGCAGCACTGACAGTGACACCGGGACGATGCCGAGAAGGTTAGCATGGCCCCTGAGCAAGGGTGACACGCAGATCTGTGAGTGTTACATGTTTAAAAAGGAAAAGAGATGAAAAAGAAACTATGATGCCAGTTAGCAACTAATGCCTCCAAGTGCCTGAATTCCAGAAATTCCAAAACAAAACCCAAAACACTCCATTGCTATCACTGATCTCCTATGTGTGGGCCATACACCACCACCCCAGCACATGCAAGCTCTCTGCTGACACCACCCCACACACGCCTTCCCACAAAACACAGATGATCGTGTTTGGTTACATGACAGGTTAACAGAGCTCGTTTCTCTTTTTATTTTTTTTAATTTATTTTTTTTATTTTAATTGTTGTTCAAATACAGTTTTCTGTCTTTTACTCCCATCCCAGCCCACACTCCCAGTCCTCCCTACTCTTTTTAATTTGTATCAAATGAATGTGGAGATGGTAAAAATAACCAGAACATAATAGTTTGTTATATAAAGTGATAGTCTCCTTCCCCCACCTCTATTGCAACAACTTTCAACCAACTTTGACTTCGGTTCTCCTGGGAAATACCTCCTAAACTGTGAACAGTTGGATCCTACTCTTCTTTGGTTTAACAACTGAAGATAACATCTTCCCACTATTCTCTCATTCTAATATTCATAGTAATTAATTTTTGATCAGCAAGCTTGGTATGCTAGTGGTTACCAGTGGCTGAGGGAAGGGGACGGATGGTCTAGCGGGTGTGGAGTTTTGGTGCAAGATTATGAAAAAGTTCTGAAAATGGAGAGGGGTCATAGTCATACAACACTGTGAATGCACTCGATGCCATTGAATTGTACACTTCAAGTGGTTAAACTTGAAAACTTCTGTTTTATACACATTTATCGCAATAAAAAACCAATAAAATTCAAATTCACCAAATTTAAATGCATATACTTAACGAGGTAAGTATTATAATAACTCCCATCCTACAGAGGTTAACTTTCAGAAGGACATGCCACTGAGAGTGGCAGATTTGAGACAAAGTTGCTCTGACTCTGAGATTCCACAGACTCCCCCTCTTCTGAGTTCCTGCCTCTGGCAGAGCGGAGAATGTGTGCATTCCCTTCACTCATTTTCTGTCAGATGTTCTCCCAGGGCCTCCTCTGTTCCCTGCACTGTCTGAGGTGCCAGGAGCCCACAGCAGACGGAAACACAGGCTGGGAGTCTGAACACTCCACCGGAGCTCACCTTAAACAGCGCACGCACCTCCTGGTCCTCATTCTCCAGCGCCCAGAGCCGCCTCCTGGCCGCTTCCTGCAAGGGGCCATTTACACACCTCCTGGAGCGGCTCTTCACACTGAAGGAGAGCATCAGGTCTGCAAGGGGACAGGGGAAGGATGAGGTATATGCAGTGCAGGGGAAGAAAGAAAAGCACCAGTGTTTCTCATACCTAAACCCTGAGCAGGTATGCTCCTTTCTCAGAGATTACTGGTGATTTAACAATCCTCTAAACTGTCTCCCAGAAAAAAAAATGCTCAAGTCCAAATATGCTCTGGAAGCCCAAGACTCAGTGTACTTGGGTTGGCTATTTCTGCTGTGAGCAAGGTTGATTCCCAGACTGCCTGGCACTAGATGATAGTGCTGACAATGTCACTAAACGTTCACTAAACACATTAAGCATTGGCTGTAGAGCCAGCTAGGATATGTATTTCCTCCTGTGGGTAATTTGTGAAAGTTTCAAACTGTTTACATATTCATTAATGTATTTACATATCAAATTATAATATATAACATATATTTTATACCTTATGCATTATACATACACACATACAGTTTGTCTCTAACTTGCTTCTTTCTGATAATGCATTTACTAATATTTGTCAGGGTAACTGGTTAATTAATGTATTAACATCTATCTTTAATTTCTTCAAAATGCACATTCACTCATCCAATATAGTGAACAGGAGCTGTTTTAAATGCTACAATGCAGCAGAGAACAAAACAGACATGGTCCCTATTCTCATGTAGTTTGTATTCTTGGCAACTAACCAGTTCCGAACACAGTAATTTTGAATGAAGAAGGTGCTGTGGAAAAGTGCAACAGAGTAGAGAGACAGTGATGGAGCCCCTGGAGGGTGGGTAGGCCTTTGGATTGCACTGTCAGGAAACGTCACACTTAGGAAGTTTATCTCACAATCGCACTTTGTCCTGGGTCTTCTTCAGATGTTAAGTAGAATTACCAAACACAATAAGCCAAGAAGATGTTGGACTGGATAATCAGAAGTCTCTCTTCTAACCTCAACTTGCCAGGGGCTTCGCGAATTCCTGAGAGACGGCCCCTATCACCCTGGCCTGGGGTCCACAGGGCAGCCCTGGACCCCTACTTTTGAAAGGCCTGACTTTAACCTGGAAGGCCTGAAAATGCTGTGGCTGTAGACCAGCTCCAGTGCGGCCCACTGAGCTGACATTGCTGTGAACTCGGGCTCCATGTTTGTTCCCTTCCTTTCCTCTCTGACCTGTGTTCTATTCTCATCCAAGCCCTCCATCCTCAGCAGTCCAGCTCCACGCCTCCATCTGGTAGGCTCTCTGCACACCAGTCTCAAGGAGGAGGGGAAATCCAGGGCAGGCTTCACACAGACCTGGGCTCAAGGCTTAGCTCTTCTTGCCAGATGTACCCCCTGAGCAGTTAATTACCTCTCTGTGCTTGACTTTTCTCATTAGCAAATGGCTTTGAGTTCCCATTCCACAGGGGTTTCCAGAGGCTTACTAAATGAGATTATGCATGTAAAGATTTTGTTTGGTGCCTGGTACACGCTCAGTGTTCACTAAACAACATAAAGCATGAACTGTTGACCCTCGCAAATCCCCCACCCTCACCCAGTACTCCAGCAATTGCTCCTCTCCCTGCCCACATCTTGCCACACCTGTGGTTAACCTTCATTTGGTGATTTCACCAAACTTGTCTCTTCTGTCCTTGCAAAACCTGATCCAAACTCCCCCTAGAATCTCTCTCCATTAGCCCCTGATGAATGACAGCCCCTTCAATGTAAATCTCCTTGTTACACGTGCACATGAATCCCTGGATATGGAACTCGAAAGACGTGGACTTAAATAAGCAAACTGCCTTTGAGACCTAAACCAGTGAGCACTGACACTCCGAGCGCAGCCTCTGGGCCCACTGAGGAGCCCACAGTACCCTCTGAGACACTACGCAGAGGGGCGAGTCAAGTTCGGCATTTTGTCGTTTTTTTTAGTCCTTCTGAAAACCAGTTTTTATTCATGATAATATATCTGACTGATTCTGTCTTCAAATATTTCTTATAAAGGAGAGGTTGGCAGCAGGAGCCGAGCCTCCCCTTCTCTCTCCGTGGCCTTCCTTAAAACAGCCCCGTGGCAGAAAACGCTGAAAGATGAACAAGCTCAGCTTCAGTGGATTTTCACCTACACATACCCCTTGTCCCCTTGCTCATTGGTCTTCGTGCACAGATAAGGGAAAATGCTGACTCCACTGTGCTCTTGAAAGAACAGATGGTGGTTCAGCTTTTGACCGATGGCCGAAGCTGACAGGCAGGTAAGCAGATTGACACAATAATAAGAAATGATGGACAAGGTTTTGCTTATTGTCAGCCAAGCAGTTTGGCAGAATTTGAAATTAGGAAAAGAAAGAATCTAGTATAACACTTACACAATGTCAATTTACATTATTTATGTTCTTTGAAACATGCATAATGTAAACCTTTTTTACAAATCTGTATTTCATCTGCTGGAGAGAAGTGTATGTTTGGGGGAGCCAGGAGCATCATGGTTATGAACAAAGACTGGGGTTTGAATCCCTTTCTCATCACAGACTAACTGTGGCTGTGGGGAAGTAACCCCCTCTCTGAGGCGCTCTCTGCCACCTTCAAAATGGGGAGTATGGTGCCATCTGCCACAGGTGAGCACATGTAGATAGGAAGAACATGTGAGGGTCACTTAGCACTTGCTCAGCACAAGGTTTGCCGTCAACAATGGTCCCAGTTTCTATACGACGGAAACTGAGTCTTCTGCGGGCTTATCCTCAGAGTTTCTGGTACAAGGCTCACTCACTCCAGTGCAGCTCTCTCTGAGGGCGACCCGCCTTTGCGAGCTTCACCGAGGGCCCTTACGGGGAAACTTGTGAGAGGCTTGTATGGAGAATCAGAATTTTCTCAGAATTTCAAAATCTTTTCCTGCTTCTGAAAGATTCACACAGATGCCCTTCTGCTCAGCCAAGCCCACCTCACATGTTCAACACTTTATTCACTCACTCATTACTTGAACGAATACTTATTGAGAGCCTACTTTGTACGGGGCACTGTTAGGTACTGTATAGAGTGCAAATGTGACCTCTACCTATTTATTCAACTAGACCTGAATTTATTTACCAGACTTTCTGGAGCACCAGCTACGTGCAAGTAATTCTTCTAGATACCGTGTAGAGCACATCATTATTCAAAAACATCAGTCCTGATCTGCAGCACCTAAAACTCTAAGCAATGATGTGCTTTTGTTAATACAGCAAATATGTGTGGAGCTCCTGATATGTGCCAGATTGTGAAGAGCTTTGGGCGTTAAACCTGAAAAGGTTTAACTTAATCTCATAGACAAGGGAAAGTATCGGAAGATTTGTGAGCAAGTGAATGTCATTGTCAAGGTCATGCCTTCAAAGATGCATTTGTCAAAGGTCCTGAAAGGGATCAGAGGGAGGGAACCTGCTGATGGGACAGACAAGGAGCTTACTGCAACATTCTACAAGCAAACCATTTTTTCAAAAATAGGGCTTGTCTTTGGCGTTTGGATACCTGGAGTCATGTTCTGTAGCGGGAAACATTTTTCCTTGTCTTTGGGTGCAGATCTACACTCGCTCGATGAGGCTAGATCCTGGGAAGGAGTTTCTTTACCTGGAGATCAAATGAAAGGCCATTTGTGAGAATGTAAGCAAGTTACAAACAAAGACTGCAAGTTTTTGCCGAGTGACAATTTTTCTCCAGGGCTGGCAGCATGGAAGAATTCTATCACCATTACGCTATAATCATTTAGTACTTACCTGTTATCCAAAAAAACTGTCATATGTGC